CACCTAAACTCACAGGCCGAACAAGGAGAGCGCTGATCAGAAATGCAGCCAAGAGGCCCATGGTGACTCTGGACGAGCTGCAGAGATCTACAGCTACTCTGCTACTGCTACTGCTTGCTGCTGTGATGAGGACCCAGGCACAGAGACTTGATAAATTTAAGAATCTTATGACTTAATAAAGAAATTTACAGACTTGCACAGAGATGATAAAATTATGATGACTGAACGCGGAGATGAAGACAACAGACGACGAGGACAGGGAGAAACAGGGGTTTAAATGCACCAAGGAGACAGTCAGAGGGACCTTGGGACAACTGGAGACATTTAAGGATGCAGGGACTGACGGAGACGAGGAAGAAGTCTCATTGTGACGAGTAAAGTTTATCTTGCCTGGCTGGGCAGCTCTCTGGGTGCTCAGCACCCCCAAAGCTCTGATCCTAGAATCGCCCCTGCTCTCTTCCCTGCTCACAGTCAATTACATGACATTATCTTAAAATTCTCTTTAGTAATCTTGAAATTGACACTAAAATGTATAAATTAATTACACTAAGAGATCTCAATAATACTCACCACAGTGCAGCATCTAAACCACAGACACTCTGCAGGAACATGACAAGACAGGTCCAAAAAAAGAAAGCATACAAAATGAATTGTTACATCTTTTTGTTAACAAAGTGAGAAAAGACAAAGGAGAAGTCACACTGAACAAACTACATTAAAACTGAATATAAGTGCATCCAGGGTTTGTATTTCTAATAGATTCATTTTTGTGTTAAAATGCTTTTACTGATCAGTGTCTCCTTTTGTAACCTGTGGAAGATGGAGGTCCAGGAAGAAGTGAGCAGCTTACTATTGTGAATGTGAGAGAAATAACATTTCCTGACATATTTAACTTTGGTACAGATAAAGTCACAGTTCGTGTATTTTCAAGAATTTTTTGTTCAAAGAACATAATGGCTATAAAATATTGATTTACATGTGGTGCATTTGCAGTTAGAAGTCATGCAGTGTCAAATTCAGTTCTCTATTGAAAAGCTATACACAGTGTACAGAAAGAGCTGCTCTGCTCCTGGTGACTGTTTTCCACAGAAAGAGGTGGGTGTAGTGGCCATTCCAGTTTGACTTGAATCCGCAGATACTGAAAGGAGTTTCTAACTAGAGGTATGCAGACATGGTTAAAAAAAGATCTGTGTTGTTTTAAACAGAAGCCCGAAACGTAAATACTGGGGACATGTGAAACTAAGAATTTATAAAGTATAAAAACACAAGACCTTTAAATGTGCAGTTCAATGTTACCATATGAACCGCATATTTAAAGATTTTCTCTAAAATGAGGAGTAACTTTGTTGTTTTGTTACTGTGGATCATCACAAAGTCAGCCTTCTACACACATCCTTATTCTCTTTGTATGTGTGATTGTTTGTTCTGCAGACACACTGATAAACAACAACCAAATAAATACTTTTCCTTTATAATCTAAGTCAAGTAAACTGACCTTTTAAACTGTAGTTTACAGTGTGGACTCTCCAGGTAATCATACAGCTGTTTCATCCCTGAGCCCTCCAGGTTGCATCCTATTAGAT